CTGGCGGTTTGTTTGCAGAGACGGCCCTGGAAGGAGGAGAAATGCAAGAGGAGGGAGAGTGAGAGGGGTAAGGAGCTCCCGGAGCTGCGTGAGTGACCCCCGCCCTTCACCCCGAGGGCTCCCTCCGACCGCCCTGGGGTGGGAGTAGGGAGACACGGGGAACGGGATGGGATGGGATGGGCCGCAGGTCTCGGTGTTGAGGGGCTTGAGCTCCGGGTTGCGGGAGAAGGGCTTGACTGCCTGGAAGTAGCTGGGGCGCAGGGTCCCTCCCCTGCCAGGCACCTGTTCCGCCAGAGGCTCAGGCAGTCGGGGTGGAGGCTACGCATGTGTCGGGGCATGGCACCAAAGTTATTCGAGCTCTGGTGTGTGGGTTTAGGGTTATTTGGGGCTTTGTCCGGCACGTTTGGGCTATTCCCGATGCGCATCCAGATGTGCTCATTCTAAAGATGTAGCAGTGCTCGCTTGATTTTTTTTGGTGCTTATGAGCTTCGCGGAGACATTTTTGCATTTGACCTAACAGCCTGTGTGGCCTTCAGCATCCTTAGTATTTTGCAGCAACTAAGCCTAAAAGCTCCTTGTTTTTCAACAAAGATCTTGGGCAGGCATAAAACGACAATGTAAATCATTCTTAAGTGTCACATTCAGGGCTTTTTGTCAGCCGAAAGCTCCACACCGAGTAGAAAATAAAAGCTAGGTATCTGCAGAATAAAGAAAACCACATTAAAAGTCAACCTCTAAATACCTGCATATCCAACCTTGATTGTGCCTTCCAGAAACGCAGCCTCTACCTCACCGTATACTTGCACGTGCTTTTATCTGTCTGTTTATGATTAAAGTGATGACCTGCAAAGAAGTATAAGTCCAGCACGTTAAGTGTGTGATTCTGTGAAGTACTCTGAGATCTAAACTCCAGATTCCTTGTCCCTTGTGAGTTTGCTGGTTCACTCGGTTGTTTATTTGGTGTGTAAACATTTGTGGTCTGTACATAGAAGGTGTTTTTGGTTTATATCAGGAGAGTACATTGACATCTGTCTGATACTAGACTGGTGAATAGGAAGAAGGTCCCATCTCTGGCCTGTTTGTGGAAGCTGGGATGATGAAGGCACTGCAGTGGGAACGTGCTGTGGTACAGGGTTGAAGCTCCAGCCCATGTCTGGTAGTTATAGAGCAATTGGAAGGGTTACGTGCAGAGTTCTGGTAAAGTAAGTGTGAGCAGCGTTAAAGTGGGGGCTGCAAATAGGGGTGCATGTTTTCAAACTATCCTTTAGCCTAAAAGCGGGGTAGGGGAGGGATAGCCGGGGGTGCTAGGGCAGTGGTTTGGTGAAAGAATCTTATCTTTGTTTTCTCGCTTTGGAAGACTGGCTTGCTAGCGGGATTGCATGAAAGCTTCAACTCTTACACCGTTTCTCCTTTTCCTTCACATTCTTATGACTTCATCACACTTCAGCCTTTCAAGCAAAAAGTTTTGAGGCCTGATTTCTGCTCAAGCGTGAAGATTTTTGGATGGGGAGGTGGATTCGATGAGGGTTTAACAAAAGCAGCGTAGTCATCTCTTGAGAATCAAGAGGAGCCTTATTTTGACTTGCACACTTTGTAAACTGAGCAAACAAAAGTGTGATGCCCTCTGAAGTCCTGGTAGGGGACTAGATGGAGACAGGCAGCCACCGAGTGCCCTGACCTGTGCTAGTCTGGATTTTAGAATTGGAAATGGAGTTGCCTTTCATTCCTTGTACTCTTTAAATAAGAAAACTTGTTGGATTTTTTTGTTTAAATTGACACCTTTCTGTTTAACTCATGAAGTTTGCAGTTGAATCCGAGGGAATCTTGGACAATTACAAAGTTTATTTGGAAAATCCGCCTGATTATTGTATGAAACTTTATGTTTTTATAGAATCAGGTTCACTTTGATGCTTTTGATGTGGAAACTAAGCAAATAAGGGCTTAATTACTTTAAAACAACAACCAAACAAACAGCCCCCCTGCAAAACTTCCAAATTCAAACTTGACATTCCAAAGAAAAAAACGTTCTTAATTGAGGTTGTGCTCAATTGTCAAGAATGGGTTATCTCTTCACGTGTGCCTGTCTTGTGGAAGAAAAAGAAGTCACGTAATTAAGCATTACATACATATATAGGGCCTTGCTGTGGGCAGTATGCTTAATAATTAATTTGGCTCAAAAAGAAAGTGAGGAAGAAAGGTAAGAGTCTTACCCTGTCAGGTTCTGATTGAATCGCAGCAAGGTAGATCCAGAGTAATTCAGTCAGGCAGTCTGACTGCATGTCACCAATGCAAGATAAATAATTCATCCTTAAGTGTGATTATTGGTTGATTTGTAGTGAGTGAGTGAGGCAGGAATACTTGGCTTTGCTGTTGCGTGAGCAATTCATAAAAACAAAATTATCAGGTAATTTGGTTCATTTAAATACTGCTTCTCTACATAGAGGAAAATTGTCTTTGCATTTTGGCTTGCACACAGCAATTCCACATGTATTTATTCTGCCCTAATATACTTCTAGAAAGTAAGTGTTTCATGCTACTTGGGGCTTGCTCCTCAGCTTATCTGATGCTTGAAATAGACCCTTCAGATACAATATTTACTCATCAATTAGACTACTGCCACATCATAACAGGAGTAGGAGCGGGACAATTTGCTGCATGAGAAGCCTACAGTGCTTGCTTTCTCTAAGCAACTTGCTCTGCCAGGTGTTCTCGGAGCATAGTTTTTATCGTGTATTTTTACCTACTAGTTTTGCCGTATTTGTTGAAGAGTAGGTTGTATCTTCTGCTTCAGGAAATACTCTTTTGTTAATTTCTTTAGTTTTTGAGTAGTGTTTTTGTGAGTGTAGCAAACTTTTCTGCTAATGCTATTGCACAGAGGAATGTGAGGATTAGAATGGAAAGAGCTTCTTCAACCAGGTGTTCCTAAAGAGGTTACACCTCTGTCTTCAGAGGGTTATTTTTTGTTGTCTACCTCGTTGGTTCTCTGACTGCTTGGAGAGTTGAGTTGGCATAGCAGGCACTTGGCTGAGGACAGAGTCCTGCAGAATCTTGTCTCAAAGACGAGAATGAAAATGGGCAGTAGAGAGCTGTGACGTGATCTCACTTGGAAGTAGGGTGGGCAGGTTATTTTCCCGACAGCCTAGTATTATTGGATGAGAGCGGAGGATCTTGTCTGTCAGGAATATTTAGTGATATTTCTGGGTTTCTTTTGAGAGTGGGGCTGGGGTGGTCAGAGCAGTGGGCAGGAGGAAGTTAGGAGCCCTGAGTTTGACTTCTTGGTCTGCTGTGGCTGTCTGTTATCTTGGGCAAGTCTGTTTCCCTCTCTCTGCCTGTCTTTCTTCCTGTGTAACATAATGCTAATTCCCCTTGCTGCATCTGGGTCCTTAGTGTTGAGCTGGGGTGGAGGGACAGGTGTGATCCAAAATTTTCACTGCTTGTGGGGTCAGACTGTCCATGACAGTGAAAAATGGAGTTCAGCTGTATTTGCCTGGTTGCAGATGCACAGACTTCATCATTAATGCCATGTACTTGGGTGGATGATAATTGGGGAATTTTGGAGGTGTTCTGGGTTTGTAGTCAGTGGTTTGGTGTTTGGTTTTTTCTTTTTTTTTTTTTTGCATGGAGGACTATTGGGCAAAAGACGTTTGAGACTGACCCAAGCCTGTGGGAATAGCTGACACCTTCTTGCCCTGAAAATAATTTTTGGATTTGGGCAGATAGCTCAAAAGCGGGGCAAAGTTGCTCAATAAGACAGGGGAGATTAAGGGACTGTCACAGTATTAGACTGAGTCAGTTCCATGCTGAAATCTCTTTGGGTTTAATGTTCTTTTTGTGTATGTGTGTCTGTCTGTCTGTCTGTCTTCTTTCTCCTCCATTCCTCTTCCCTTCCCCCTTCCTCTTCCCACCTGTGCCCAGCTAGGATGGAAGAATCTCATTTCAACTCCTCCCCGTACTTCTGGCCAGCAGTGCCCACCGTCTCGGGACAGGTAAGATCTTTTCCTTCCAACCTATTACACTGGTCTCCCTTCCCGTTACAAGCTCGTGCACAACAGGTGTTTCTGTTGCATGTCTTGCTCAGCCAACTGCTGGGAGAAGCTGTGCCAGGGTATTCTAAAAGCTGTTCTTGCCACCTGTTTAGATCGAGAACACCATGTTTATTAACAAGATGAAGGAGCAGCTACTGCCCACAGAGAAGGGCTGCAGCCTGGCTCCCCCCCACTACCCTGCCTTGCTGACAGTACCCACCTCTGTGGCCCTGCCCACTGGTATCTCCATGGACTCGGACACCAAGCCGGAGCAGCTGACACCACACAGCCAAGCTCCCGTGACTCAGAACATCACCGTAGTACCAGTGCAATCTGCTGGGCTCATGACAGCAGGTAGGGGACCCCAAAGACTTCGGCAGCGTACGAGGGAGGCTCTGGGGTGGCGGGACAGAGGGTCGTGGGGAGTCCTTTTGGGGCTGTAGTTTATTCCTAGCATTACTGATGGCTGCCTTGGTATGGTTTCCCTGTGAATCTCGAGGCACTCCATATGTCTGCCCTTGCTGTGGAAGTTTGACTTCCAGCAGCGGAGACTGGGAACGTGTTGGGGAGAGCAAGCTACTCTTCTGTTTGTGTTGTAGGCAGAAGTGGGAGTGTGAAGCTCGCTTCTGTGGGATAAGGAGGTTGGGTGTGAGTAGAGATGCGATAACTGACTTCCTCCATCTTTGTTTGCAGGTCCTGGTCTGGTGATAACTTCCCCGTCAGGTTCCCTGGTGACCACAGCCGCCTCTGCCCAAACCTTTCCCATCTCAGCCCCCATGATTGTCTCTGCGCTACCCCAGGCAACCCTCCAGGTGGTTCCTGACCTGTCCAAGAAAGGGACAACCACCCTCTCCGAAGGTGGTGGGGGTGGCGGGGGTGGGGGAGTTGCCCCCAAAGCACCCCGGGGCCGGAAGAAGAAACGATTGCAGGAGTCGGGGCTGCCAGAGATGAGTGACCCCTTTGTGCTGTCAAACGAGGATGATGAGGACCAGCACAAGGATGGCAAGACATACAGGTGAGGAGCAGTGTTAAACCTTGACTCTAACTTTGCATGCGGGTGGGGGGTGTATTTAACCTTTCAGGGGGTTGCATGGGGAAGAAGAGATCTCTGCCTTTTTGCTGAGGAGTCTCTGAGTAGACAGTCTTTCAGCTACAGAATTAGTTGAGTTTTCTCTCTGATCACGAGTGTTTACAAGCTCATGGGTTGACCCAAAACTAGGGATCTTCTTAGTGGACAGCTTTGATTTCCTGAATGTACAGATGTTAATGTTACTAGGTTAGTTAATGACCAGGATTTACGGAGGCTAAACTGTATCCTTGTTGCCACAGCTGGGTGGTATGGCAGCTGTACTGCAGCCGAGAGCCCTAGTGTACCTACCTGGGTGCTCCTGAATTGGGACTCCAGTCTGTCCAGTGTAAAGACTACAAACTGGAGGCACACGGAACAGGAAGTGTGGCTTTTGGATCTGCTTCTGTGTTCATTGTCCCTTGTGATGTCCTCCTATTTTAGTGTTCCAAACAAACAGGAAAAAAAAAAGTATTTCTGAATTAGGTATAAGGGTGTTTCTGAGCCCTGAGGGTATCAGGTAAGAGGGAGGATTGTTCTGAGGCCAGAGGTTGGGTTTCTGAGCTTGGAGGGATGTGGCTTGAATTTATGACTGAGTGGTCAGAAAGGGAGGGATTAACTAGGAAGGAATATGTAAACCAGAGGATGAGGAGCCTGGGAGTTTTAGAGGAGGTGGGAAGCAGGCAGAGCAGTCACATGCAGGCGAGGAAATCTGATGGTCTGTTTGAGCTGAGAAGCAGGAGCACGTATTGACGTGACGGGTGCTTCTGAGGGATGATTAAGATTAAGAAGTGGCAAAGGAGTAGCCAGATGGAAACGGAAAGAGTAGGTGGTCGCTAGCTCTTCTCACTTCCCTACTATGTGCCCAGTATTCTGGCTCAAACAATTTCCCTTTTACCATCCTAGACCATCCTTTTTTTGGCACAGATTTAGTTATGTCTCTGGAATTAAACCGTAAGAATATGAAGACATCTCTACAGCATCAGTGCATCCACCCCAAACACTGTTTCTTTTTTAACTATAGCATTTTAAAGATGTTTACATTTTTAAATCAATACAGTTAAATGAGTACAAACACAGAGCTTGGATCAGCCTTTTTATTCTCTTACCCAATGTCTCAATTCTTCCACTTTGAAAATATAATCAGCGTATGGTGAAGAGGGGTGGGAGTGTTAGGTAGCTTGCTATTTGTAATCCCACCATTTATTTTGGGCCTTAGCCACAATTCCACACTAGTCAAGCTGCTTACAGTCTGGGTTGCTAATTAGGTTGTTAAATATGTATTTACAGGGGACACAATTGGCAGTGAACACTAGAATTAAAGCTGAACCAAGGCTTTAATTATAGCTCCTTGTTTACTTGTAAGTTTGGAAAAAAATGCCCAAGACCAGGTGGAGTGACTCAGCAGAAACTTTATGAACACGCAGAGTATGTGTATCAGCTCATGAAAAAGACTTTGCAGGGGAAAAACACAAGAGTTTATATGTAGGAACATGTAATCAGGAAGATTTCCTGTCTTCCAAGTGTGGTACCTCTGCCTCTTCCTCCACCTGCCATCCCAAGCAGGCCGTCGTCCGAGCAGTGCTGAGGTTTGAGATAGCTGCCTGTGGCTGGGCGGTTGGAACTAAGTGATCTTTAAGGTCTCTTCCAATCCAAACTGTTCTTTGATCATTCTACAAATTGAGCTTTACTGAAGACCACCAGGGAATATGTCTTTGCTCCTTGGGATCTCCTCTTTAGCTACTGCTTTCAGTGTGCGAGTTTGGAACTAAACGTCATTGTTGAAAAAAATAAAGGAATAGCTCTCTTGGAGCTGTGGGAGAGAAAACTTTTGTGAAATACAATGAAATTGTTTCTCCATAATATGCATATGAATAGACCTGTGAGTTAGAACTTTGAGGACTCCTAGGTTCCTTCTGTCTTCTAGAGGATGATTTGAGTAGTTCCCTTTACTACAGCATGCAGACATATCCTAGCTAAATTAAGACCGTGGGTGAGGTTCATCTACTCCTGCTCCCTTCTCAGGCTGGAGGAGGAGTTGCTTGTGATATTCATATGTCTACATTTTTATTTCACTGATTCTTATGATGATGCATGGAGGACAATCTAGTCAGGTGCCTGAAAGGAGTTGCACTATTTTGATCAATATGAGTTTTTTTGTTATACTCAATTCTTAAAGCCTGGGATTATTTCATTGTATTTTGTTGTGTGTTTTAAGCTTCTTTTTGAGCTCTGCAAGCTCTCTTGTGTTGAGTGCCTGGGCAGATGGCTAATTTCTGTAATTCCTGACTCCTGGTCTGTTGGTGAAGACAGAGTAAGGTCTTGAATGGGCAGCACAGCCAGGCAGGCTTGGAAGGGATTGGAACACAAAGGTGATACACGTACTGAATGTAGAGATTCCTGCTCCAGCAAATGGAGGCTGTTTTGTTGCAGTATCATCTAGAAGTGAAATGGTAGTCTGCTGTGAAAGTGGTGAAAGAGTCTTTGTGATTAGGCTTTTCTTTGTATGAAAAGGTATGAGGCTTTTGCTAATGATAGTGTTGCTTGCAGATCTTGGACATCTAGGTTTAGGATTAGTTTGGCAGAGCCCTTGGTGCTGCTAGGAGAATGCTTACACCTGCAGGGGACAGCATCTCACCCAGTCTCTGTGACGCATTTTCCTTCGTGAGTAATGTCACTTCAGTTTTATCTGGATTCATTGTCAACTTTTTGTTAATCTTGCCTGACATCTTTGTAGAATTTACTTTTTCTCTCGAAAATGAGATCAGCATCAAGAGTCTTTCTACTAAGATGCTGGCAGTGTGAAGTACACGGCTGCTTCTCAGTACTTTAAAAGGTCCTGAGGAAGGGAGAGTGAGCGCAGGTCCTGGTGACAGTAGAGTTGTTTCTGGGTACTGTTCTGGTTCCTGTACCTGTGCGCTTCTAGACATTTGTGGTTTGATGTGGTGGATGGGCAAGGCTGATGAAGTGGCTCAGCCTCTCTGGGCCATCAGTTCTCTCCCTCTGATAAACAGTTCTCCAAATATTTTCTTCTTTGCAAGAGGAAGAGAGCTTCTCTACAGGTGTTGCTTGGTTCTGGTATTAAGTTTGTAAATGCTACGACAAATTCCAGTTTATAGTCTGGAATGTTTTTGTGAGCTGTGCTTTCAAGCATTAGATACCAACAGAAAGGTTGTAGGCTTGAGAAGGACCTTGCCATCGTATTGTAGCCAACGAGCTCTCTTTTCCCCACTGCCAGTTCTGAGCTTCTCTGGTTTTGCTGTGTCATAGGAACAGCAGGGGCTTTGGGTTTAGAAGACAGTAAGCAGCTGAGGGACATAGGAAGCTTCTAAGCTGAGTCCAGGATGCAAAAGTGTACAGCCTTAGAAGGTGTAGCAAGAAGTGGAGTTGAGCTGTAGGAGATGAAGAAGCTGGATGGAGGCCCCCTTTAGTGAGGAAATGAGGTACACAAGGGGAGCCAGTGGTTTGAATACAGCAGGCGAGTGTGTTCTCAGACATGTCTCATTTTAAAACTTTGGGTTTTTTTCTGCCCTGTGTTGGACTTAGCATTGATGTTTGGTGAACTTTCCATGGTTTTGAACAGATTTGAAATCTAGTGGCTATGGTTTTTATAAGCCACTTATCTGTGAAACTATGGTCAAATTTGGCCAAGTCTTAAGGTGGAAAAAGTCTATTAAGCATGCTCCGAGATGCTTTATGGTTTGGTAGTTGAAATATGCGAAGATAATACTGTCTTTGATGTTTCTTGAGGCTTGCATGACTCCAGGCACTGACCAGACTGTCTGTCTTCACAGAAGAGATAAATACACTCTAACCTCTCTCAGTTTCTAAGTAAGGCTGGACTTTGTGTGTACTCTCTCTGCAGTGATAAGCATCTTCTAGTCTAGTGCTCAAGGGCCAAGCATGCTTTTCCTTCAGTCACAACTGCTCCCTTGCTGCTTCAAAAAGGAGTCTTTTGTGCCTAGTGTTGACAGTGACCTCCCCCCTCTGATGTGCACAAAGGCAAGGTGGAGAAGATGCTATTTGTTTCAAATGTATGAGGGACAAGAATGAGATAGGAGCAGGGGCTGGAGCTGACTTGTGTCCAGGAAGCCTGGAAACTTGGCAGAGCAGAGATGGGAATTGGAAGGGAGGAGAGAGAAGAGACAGGAGCCTACAAACTAGGGAATGCAGCAGGGGGTGTGATGGGGAGCCTGTTTGCAAGGGAAAGATGGCACAGAGATTAGCTCTGAAGGGCCAGGAATGAAGAGAGGAAGAAAGAGCCAGATCTGCTAGGGGCTGGAAAATGAAGAGATGCCTCGAATTAGCAGCAGAAATGGGCACATCGTGGGATGTAGACAGACAAAGAAAAACGCAGGGAAGAACAGACAAATATTAGGTAATTGAGAGAAGGGAAGAGTGAAGAGCCACTGCAGTAGAGACTAAAGAGGCTGGGACATGTGGGTAGAGAGCTTGGGCTGGGGTCTTGGTGCAGGAGAGAGGGGATTGCAAAGGCTAGAAAGCTAAGGGCAAAGGGGCAACTATGTTTCAAGCGTCAGGCAGAGAGTTCGACCACATTCCCTCCAAAGCCTAGAAAGATTAAACCCAATATTTCTAAATTTTGTTGTGTCTCTGATGTCAGCTCAAGAACATGACCTCCTCTGGCAAAGAGCCTCACCCCCCTCTAAGGCGAGGAAAAGATGACAGGCTACCATTGCTGTTGTTTACCAGCCGAGCTGCAGGGGCAGAGGTCTGTGCAGTGGATCTTAAGATTGCTGATGACCAGCGTGGGTGTCGGTATGATGCCACATGTTGGAATTTCTGTTTGCTTTTTTTAACAAGTAGTTCCGTGAGCAGCGGAACTAATGAAGCCTGGTTTCCAGCGGCTCTCTCCTGTGTGGATTCTCTGATGTCTAATCAAGGGTGAGCTTACTAGCCTTTCCCTCAGCAGGGGGCTCCAAGAGGGTCTC